TAGGAAATATTCCCCTACCTGTGAGCAAACCACAGAACAGCCACAATAGAGCTGAGTGAACAGCCAATGAAACACTGCTGCCAATCTCAAACATTGAGAAATCAGGACTCTTCTACCTTTCCTCTCCCATGCCCTGCCCACCAAAATCATGAAACTAGCTTAAAAACTGAGAGACGATAAGAGGATATTTTTTCTATTTGTTCTGTTTTTAGGCCTCTATCTAGGGGTCATATTTTTAAGCTCTCATCTACAATCATGTGACCCCAAAAGTTTTTAAACAGATAAAATGTATGATTTTTACATCATCACATGCACAGGATAAAAACCATAAGAAAGACCAAAATACTGAAGGCCAGGATTCTTCTCTCCATGATTCCAGTATTACAATCATACACTGGCTTCAGTGGAGTAACTCCTAACTGACACCATCACAAGTAGCAGCAGAATTAGGTACTCACTCTGGTCAGCTTTAATCAGAAGCTAGTACTTCAGGCACAAACAGGGGCAAAGCCCACAGGAGGTTTCCCAGAAAGTTTGACAGACACAGACCCTAAGTTACTAACATCCTCAGAAACGTCATCACAGCTCTTAGTGCAGACAATAACATGCCAGGCCACTGGACAAGGCGATTATAGCACACAAGGAGGCAGGGAGGCGGTATCTCTGGTTAACTAAAACTCACCCAGGCTGCTCCAGCACTAGTTAACATACAGAGCCATGTAATCAGGGTGACAACCTGTCTACCACCCCTCCATGGGAACAGGAGAAAGAAAAAAGCAGGAAGGAGGAGGAAAAGCCATATATATTCTAAGATCTTTAAAATAACAAGCCATGGCTCCAAATCAACATGTGTAATTTAGCATCACTGGAGATTAGCCTGTCTAGTTTCCTTTCAGCAGGCACAAGGGAAGTGATAAGAAGCTTGTTCATCACATACAATACAGACCACGCAGCAACAAAGCAGCTCCAATAGTATGTTGCAATTTCCTTGTCAAATAACATTTTTAGGAAGATTGGACTTATTAGCCTGTTCCTGGGAAGATCACATTAATGCATTCAGAAAAACCCCACTGGGCACAAGTAGCACTATGGGAGGAGTCTCAGCAACTGCAGGGTTCAGGCTTGAGTCTGAGGGGCAAAGACAGGCTAGTATCACTTTAAATAAAGGGCTCCTACAAAATTCTCTGTTACTTATGTTGTATCCCAAGGGTGTCTTCACAGCGAGTAAGTTTGAACAGAGGTGGAAAGTAATGAGGCATCTATTTATTTGTTTCTCTACTTAATTTCAAAGAGCTGGCATATAGCCAAGGAGAGGCAGAAGCATGAACATTAAGGCCCCAAACCAACTCTACTTCTGGACAGGTCAGCAGCACTTTACTCTTCCCCAATCCCAAGTGCTACTTACCTACCTAAAAGCACAGTCAGGCTTGGGCTGAAGGGTCAGACAGTACTAACCTGACAGATTCTTTTGACCAGGAAATGCGGCTAAATTTTGTCCACACCCTTTTCCTGTCTGGTACACATATAGCTCATATTAGCTATCCAAATCAATTCACTGCTTGCAATGTTCTTCTCAAATTATACCTCACAAGGCAAGTGAAGGTTTAGCGAAGGGTCACTCCTTGAGATATAGTTTAGGATAAAGTGTAAGAGACGTATTTTAATATTTATGGCGCAACATCTGATAGGAATAAAAATGCTCTATGATTTTTTTGTAAACAAAAATCCAAGCTCAAGAGCTCTCTGCCGCTATATGGCTCTCAGATAATGAGAATAACTCGAAACAGAGGGCCTGATTTTTCTTTCAGGTAACTATTCATCCCTGTTACTACAGTGTCTGCTTTTATCTTCACCAGCACCCCTCAGAAGTTCATTATCACCATTTTACAGAGGAGAACTGAGGTGCCAAGGGATTGAGTTTCCCAGTGTCACCCAGAGTCTGTAGCAGAGTAGGATATAGTTCTTCAGTCCACTGAGCCCCCAGCTAGCAGCCTGACCACAAGACTATTCTCTCTCTTCCCCTTCTTTCACAGAGCTGCACATCGGGGCAACTCCAGTTACATACTTTAAGTTACAACAGTGCACAAGCAGTGTAATTCAGGACAGGACAATGTCAATAAAAGTAAAGCTGACTCCTGAAGTTTCCGTTTACAACCCAAGTGAAAAGCAAGAAGCAAATGCAGCCCAAGGAAATAAAACCTTTACGATAATGTTTTTAAAACTATGTTTTAATCATCTTTGTTTCTGGTACTGCAGACAAATAATAATAACAACACCTTAATGACCATTTTGGGGCAGATCACTGGCTAGAGCACATTGAATAGCAGGAACATTAGCTTCCAATGATACTTGCCACCCGCAAAAGTACTTTCTATTGAAACTGTTGCTTTAAGATGCCCAAATACTTGTGCTCCAAGCTATTCTTACCTCCCTGTACTCATTTCTCCTTTAATTTGGCTCAACCCATAGTCATTTCTGGGCTGCAGTATATTTTTTCTGACCTACTAAAGAGCACTAACATCACATACTGCTGAGCAAACTAAATAATGCCACTACCATCAAGCAATTCAAGACATGGTTTCCTATAACTTTGTGAGTTTTCCCTGACTATCAATATTCCAGGGGGTGAGAGGAATATGCTCAGATCTACACAAATGTGGTTGGGAACAGCTGGACAAACTTTACTAATAGCCTACATGGCATCAGAGTTGGGTCTTTGGCTACAGGAGAAGCCCACAAAGAGCAGGAACTGAGCAACAGATCTGGTCACCTGAACTAAGGTTTCAGGATGATGAGAACTACAGATGTGTCTATCTTGGGGGCCAGATTCTGACCACAGCTTCCCTAGTCTAAATCAGGAGCAAATATTCTAAAATCAATTAAGTTATTCCTAATTTAGAACCTGATTCAAAGCCCAATGAGGCCAATGAAAATCTTTCTACTGCCTTCAATAGGAAGTGGATCAGGCCTTTGCAGCAGTATATCAGACATCCAAACATATCCCTCAGAAAAATTTTGCCCAATTTCCACCAGTCCATTTACACAGGACATGCTATCATATATGTCCTCACTGAGGCATGCAGTCCCACTGCCTTAACTAGGGTATTGGCATAAGCAAGGATGACTCATGTGAGGAAGAGTTATACGATCAAGCCCTTAGCTTGGCATTATGTATGAGATAGGGAAAAATACTTTCCTTCCCAAGCTCTTTCTTCCAGGTGCTTAGATTTCTGGGTGGATCCAGAAATAGATGAAATATTAGAAGGTGGGATCTCAGTTGTTCACCCTGAGTACTAATGCTGAGCTTTCTAAATTCACCCAGGCACCAGCATGATCCCAAGCACCATGAAAGTTAAAAAAGGGAGTAGAGGGGATAGGGGATCCCCACTGTCTCCAATACAAAATATTTAAATCAAGCACCGAAGCTCCAGAGGAAATCAGAGCAAATAGTGGCCTTGCAAACTGGTGATAATAATCACTGACACCAGCTAAAGGAAAAGCAGTAGCATATTGCAAGCGGCTGTTGAACAGGCACCTTTGCACTCCTGGGCTTCAGATCACTGCCTCTCACCAACTCATGGCCAACAGCAAAGTTGGGGCAAAGGACAGGGATACCTGGACCACCTTGCTACTAGAAGTACACCCATTGCTTCCAAAACACGTGTTTAAAGGGCCCCTGCCTTGGAAATTTAACAAGCTTTTAATTCTCTATCACCATGATCTTTCTCTCAATAATTTTTTTGGGCACACATGAGTCTGAGGCAACCTGCAAGCCTGCACTCACACAAATAGCCTTGTTGAAACCAGCAGGAATATTGTTACCATTTTCATTCCCATTAGAGCAGACCCTGCAACCAGGATCTGGGCCTCGCTGTGCCTGGTGCTGTACAAGTATGTAGTGAGAAACATCCCTGGCCCAAGGGAGCTTCCCGTCTAAACAGAGAAGGCAAAAAAGGGAGACAAAAGCAGTGTTAGTAGATAGGGATGGTCCTGTCTCAGGAAGGGGATTGGGCTAAGATGGCGCCTGGAGGTATTTTCCAGCCCTGCTTTTCTATGAGTCTATGATTCTAGGACAGGTGTGTAAGCTTCATTAGTTGTCTTTAAACCTGTCATGACACAGAAGCATGATAACCTTGAAACAACCCCTAAAGTTCCCAGAGTTGCTGCCTGGAACAAGCCTTTCATTCTCTAGTATGGGGCTTTGCTTGCTTCCTACAGGCACTATCACAACACCTCACAGTCTAGTCGGAGCCATCACTCTCACACGCTCAGCACTACCCATGCAGAGTCAAAAGACAGTCCCTGGCCCAAAAGTGAAGCCCTTAAGGATCTGTCCGCACTGGAATCAGAGGCATGCACACACTACGCTAGCTGTCACCTCGCTGGTCCTAAAACAGGGGAACACACAGCCTCGGTACAGGCAAGTGACCAGAGCAAGTCCCAGCAGGCAAAGCCTCTTCACTGCCACTGTACCTCAGGCCAGCAAGCCCCCCTGGGCTGCACTCGCTGAACCAAAGTGCAAAGGGGCCCTGAAAGAGCCCCCCGCCCTTCGGGGACAGAGGAAAGCAGGAAAGGAAGAGCAGGTCAGGACCTGCAAGGGACCTGCTTCCTTTCCACTCCGGGATCGCCAAGCAGAGCGGAGGGTCCCAGTGGCGACGCGCTGCCTGCCTCTGGGCTCGGGGCCGCTGCTGCCAGCCCAGGGTCCCGGCTGCCCCCAGCCCCAGGGCAGCGGGACTCCTTCTCCCCCAACCCCGGCCCGGCCCGGCCAAGTCCGGGCTGAGCTGGCAGCGAGGAAGAAGCAGAGGCGAAAGGGCGGTGGCAGCAGCCGGGGCCGCGGGGCATTAGCTGGAGAAACCGGGCCTCTCCCGGGTAGGCACCCCCGGCGCCGAGGACCTTCCCGGGTAGGAGCTGGGCTGCGGCTTCCCGGAAACTTTGGGCGCCGCCCCCGGAGCGCGGCTCGCGGCTGAGGCAGCGGGGCCGGCGCGGGACACTTACCGCTCCGCTCCGCTCCTTACGGCGCCGGCATCCCCGCGGGGACGGAGAGCGCAGCCCCGGCCGGAGCAGCCCGTGAGGGGCCGGGCCGCGGATTAGTGGGCGATCATCGCCGCCGCCCTTTCCTCCTCCTCGCCCGCGGCGCAGGGCTGGCAGCGGCTCCTGGCGCTGGGGCAGAGCCGGCACCGCGCGGGCTCCGCCGGCTCC